TAGTAAACAATCAAGAAAAGGGTCATGAGTTAGATGATGTATATGTAGAGACTGAAAGGGAAGTATTAAGTGAAGAGGTCAGTCATATTCATTACACTTTTAACCCTCTTTTACCCTCTGATTGCACAATTTTCAGTAGACAGAAAATTCTAAAAGATAAATAATCCTATTTTTCACTTTCACTTTATTTTATCTTCTTTGGACGATTACAAGAACAGGTTGCAACTTGGAAGAGTTCAACATTGAAATATTGACTCAATATCATGTTGCTTTCTAGAATCTCTGACAGAAATAATTAACTAAAACAAAATTCTCCTAATTTTAGGTTTTTAAATTCTCGTTATATTTTAATTTTTGTATATGATTTGCCTGTCATATAGGTTAAAATCTCTGGGGTAGCATTTCTAAAGCATGGTGAGGACAGAACAGGAGCTAATGAGGATACAGGGCTACAAAATAAAAACTTCAATTTTTCTCCTAAGGGAGATGCAGCTGCAGGAGAATTGCTGGATAATGAAAATATAATATCTGAAGCAGCACCTACAAAGTTGATCCGTGAAACCATAGAAGATAACAAAGAAATTATTATGAAAGAGAAAGAGAGTATTGAAAGAAAAGATGAGAAGCCGTCCATAACTGAATCTTTAGGAGATGGAGAAATTGAGGAAAGGCAGAACAAAAACCAGCATGAATCTGAAACAGATGAGCAACTGAACGATGAAGTTTGCATATCCAACAGAGTGCAAGAAAATGACGAGGTAAAATATATAAAATTTTATACAATTAAACTGAATCATTTGCAATAGCCACTACTAAAGCGGAGGTCTGTTGTGCAGGAACAAGTAGTGCTTTTAGCAGGAGAAGGAGAGGTTATAGCGGATGAAGCTGATAGTTGTAGCAGACAAATTAAAGATGGAAATGAGAAGCCTGATTTTTCATCTCACAGCACGGATCCATCCGAAATATCACATAGCAATGGGGCCTTGGGTATTGCAAAAGATAATGAAAACTCCACAGATTTAAGAATGCTAGAGAAAATCTTTACTGGCACAACCGAAAGTGAGATTTCTGAATTGACGTGTCCAAATGAAAGTGAAGAAACCATAACGTCCCCAGGCAGCAAAGACATACAATCAATGGAACAGGTCTCTGAAACAATAGCAGTTGATGCTGAAATGCATGATTCAAATGCCGGAACTGCTTCCAGTGATGTACAAGAAGCAACAGGAGTGAAGAGTAGAGAAGAGGAAAAGGAAGAGGATGATTACAAAAAAATGAAAGAGACCTCCACATCCACGGAGTGTGCCATTCCAACATCAAAAATCAAGCAGGGATATGCAGTAGAAACCCTGGTAGTAGTTGAAGATCAAGAAACTGAAGATAAACTAGTCGAACTTCATCACTTTCCTCATCTACACCACATCCAGGATTCTGAAGGAAAAACAGAGGAAGATGGCCCTGTGGATCTTCAAAGAGCCAGAAATATAACCGAGGATATGCAAGAGTTGGATGAAAGATCCATTGCACTATCGAATAAAGAGAATCTTGCAGAGACAGATCCAAATGAAAGCAAAGAACATGAGGTTTCAAGTCGAGGAAAAGGGCTTGCATTAATTCAACAGGACCCAGTGCCAGCAACTTTCCAGGAGGAAATAGATGACCAGCAACCAGGAAATTCTTCAGAGGCTGTCTCAGAAGTTAAAGATGCAATTTGTGAGGAAGAAAAAGTAACCATCACTAATTGCAACGAATTTACAGAAAATAACAGCTGCGTGACATCAGATAAGGTCTCACCATCCAATATGCTTCAGGGTTCTGCAAGTGAGGCAGCACAAGGCACGAAAGATAAAAATACTCCAACTCAATGCCACGAGCTTCCGCTTTCATCGGATATCAAATCTTCAGACATGGAAAGAACACAGATGGATGTTGAATCGTGGNTTCTTTTTTGATAACCAATTGCACTTGTCTCTGCTTCTCATTATGATAATTAATTTAAAAAATCTCTGTAAAGCAGGAAAAGGGCCTAGATTCGAGCTCTATAAAGAATCTAGTTGAAACAAATTTGGACGAATGTAAACACAAAATAACTCAAGAAGAATTGTCTCTCAAAACAATGTCAGAAGAAGAGAAACCTGTAAACATGATCAGTTTGGCATCTAAAGCAACAGAGGAGAATAGTGAATCAAACAGTTTCCATCAAAAGACAGCTTCCAAGGATTTGCAAGTTGTAGAAGACTCCATCACGTGCTCGAATAAGGAAAACATAGTACAAATATATCCAAAAGAAAGCACAGACCAGGATCCAAGTGGAGAAAAGGTGGAATTAATGAAACAGGACTCAGTAACTGCTCTGGAGGAAAGAGAAGAACAACAAACAGGAAAATCTTCTGAGACTATCTCAGAAGCAAAAGGAGTGAATCGTGAAGGAGAAAAAGGAATTACAGACAACTGCAAAGAAAGAGTGGCCAGTTCTAGTTTTGTGCCAATAGATGAAATCTCACATTCCAACCCTCTTCTGGAATCTAGAACAGAGGTACTGCAGGATGGTGAAGAAAAAGAAACCGAAAGTCAACAAAACAGCATTCACATTTTGGTACATGCCATTGATTCAACCTTGGAAATAACACCAAAAGATGCTCCATCGTGCATTGCTAGTGCTGATGGTTCTGATGACCATCCAGTGATGCAGGAGTTAGAGGTAGTCTCTCCACTGGCATTGGATAAAAATGTGGTAGATGAAGCAAACTATGAGGAAACCTCACATGTGGAAGATCATTCAACAAACAAAGAAGAGTTGCATGAAGAGAGAACAGAACCCACTGAAGACAAAGAAGCAAAAGCAGAGGAAGATGAAGCAGGCAAATCGAAAAGGTCAGACTTCGGTTCCCAAGCTCTGATCTTGGTGGAGGAAAGAGACAAGGATGCCATTGGTTCAGTGTCTGAAGCCCCATTTGAGGATCTCAAAGTTGAAGGAGAAGCAAATAAGTTCACCGACAAGGCTGATACTGCACCAAGTACTGTGACAAAGAAAGAGATGAATGTGGAGGAAATCTGTGAAAATGAAAAGTCTACTAATTCACACGATGAAACTCCAGAAATCACCAATGCAACTTCTGATGACCTAGGAGGACAAGAAGTTGAGAGTGCAAGGGTTGCAGAAACCGCAGCCTCAGTATCTCAATCTGAAACGGTTGAAGCCCACAATGCAGACATTGGAATTGCAGTTGTGGAACAGTCAGAATCAGGTGAAATTGAAATTGCAGATGAAGAAAACGAGTCTGAAGCAGTATACAAGTCTAACGATCAGAACATAGAAGAGCTAATATCTTTGGAATTCCCAAATTTGACAAAGAATGATGCAGAAAACAATGAGAAGGAAACAGACAAAGATTATGAAAAAGGCTTTGAGACCAAATGTGAGAGAGCCGAAGCTGTGATTGAAGATAATATAACCAGTGATCAGGGAAAAGAAGAACTTCCGGAGAAACCGCTAGAATTGCTTTCCAAGGTACAATTATTTGATAACAAAC